CGGAAGGACAGATGTTCTACGTGTGAACGCCGGTAAGTACACCGATTCCAACCAGCACCTATACCGTTGCAAACGCCGCGTCTGAACGCACCCAGAGAGTCAACATCTCCTGGTGGTCCCGGGCCCAAAGGACGTCCGCCTAGCCTCGACCAGGGCCAGGGCTTTTTCTCTCCTGGCCCCCACCTGGTGGAACAGTCTCCCTATTGAGACCAGGGCCCTGCGGGATCTTATGCAATTCCGCCGGGCCTGCGAGACGGAGCTGTTCCGCCGGGCCTTTGGCTGAGGCAGCGGGCGTCCGCATATGCCCCCCGCCCCGAGGTTGCGGTCTCCCACCTACTGATAACTGGCCATTCCTAGTTACGTGAATGGATCGGATTCTCCCTACACCAAGCGTGACGACCGACTTTATATGTTTTCATGTGTTTTAAATTTGATTGTGTTTGTTTATTCTTCACCCAAAGAGAGTGATGAACGCATGGAATTCACTGCCACAGGAGGTGGTGGCAGCTAAAAGTATGGACGGCTTCAAGAGGGAATTGGATAAACATATAGAGCAGAGGTACATCAGCGGCTATGAGCCATAAGGTACAGATAGGGACTCTCGGTCTGGGGCAAGGGATGCTCGGTATTCTTGGTGCCTGGGGGGGGGGTCAACAGTGGGAGGGGCTTCTGGTGTCCTGGCCCCACTGCTGGACCTCCTGATGGCACCTGGTATTTCTGGCCACTGTGTGACTCACAGTGTTGGACTGGATGGGCCACTGACCTGATCCAACACTGGCTTCTCTTATGTTCTTATATGAAGCAGAGGTCCATCAGTGGCTATGAGCCACAAGGTATAGATAGGGACTCTTGGTCTGGGGCAAGGGATGCTCTGTATTCTTGGTGCTTGGGGGGTGGGAACAGTGGGAGGGCTTCTCGTGCCCTGGCCCCGCTGCTGGACCTCTTGATGACATGTGGTATTTTTGGCCACTGTGTGACACAGAGTGTTGGACTAGATGGGCCATTGGCCTGATCCAACATTGGCTTCTTTTATGTTCTTATACATCTGGAGCAGAGGCCCATCAGTGGCTGTTAGCCACAAGGTATAGATAGGAACTCTCAGTCTGAGGCAAGGGATGCTCTGTATTCTTGGAGCTTGGGGGGGGGGGCAACAGTGAGAGGGCCTCTAGTGTCCTGTCCCCACTGTTGGACCTCCTGATGGCCCCTGTGTGACAGAGTGTTGGACTGGATGGGCCACTGGCCTGATCCAACATTGGCTTCTCTTATGTTCTTCTAAGAAGGAATCGGATAAACATATGGAGCAGAGGTCCCTCATTGGCTATTAGCCACAAGGTATAGGTAGGGACTCTCGGGTCTGGGGCAAGGGATGCTCTGTAGTCTTGGTGCTTGGGGGGGTGGGGGCAACAGTGGGAGGGCTTCTGGTGTCCTGGCCCCACTGCTGGACCTCCTGAGGGCACCTGGGTATTTCTGGCCACTGTGTGACACAGAGTGTTGGAATGGATGGGCCACTGGCCTGATCCAACATTGGCTTCTCTTCTGTCCTTATGTTGTGACCCGTCCTGATGGGCGGGATATAGATGTGAAAAATAAATGAATACATTTTTTAGCCTCCGGTTCACACATTTTTGTCTTGGCTCGGGAAGGACGGGGCTCCAGAGGAAACCGACTGATGCAGCAGCCAAACGGCTCACTCACAGCTTTCGTGCCAGTGGCTCACGAAGTGGAATTTTTCCTCACAGGGCTCCACGGCTTAGAGGGGGCAGGGATACCGACCCGGATGGGCCGACGGTCTGATTCAGTCCCAGCCCGATTTCTGTGTCTGCGGCCTTCCAAACACGCACTGGGCCAGCCCCACTTTTTTGGTTTTGTGCCCACGGCTGCTCCCCCTCCAAAAAAAACCCCCAAACAGAAAACCCCCACACCATTTCCTCACCCCCAAGTTGGCTCGCGGGAAGAAGGCTGTGTAGGTTTAAGTAGGGGTTGAGTGGAATCTTGAAGTCCTTGGGCGGTTCGCCCAGCAGAGACACCTGTGAGAGAGAAGGACTCGTGAACACAAACTCCCGGTCTTCAGCCGAGACCAGCAGCACCGTTCCGAAGGGAAAAGAACATTTGTTAGACCACGGAAGAGACGAGAGGAAAGGTGGACGCACGGCTTAAAAACAGCGTCCTGTCTTGCAGATTGGACCCTGGGCGCGGACGGGATGAAGACCCTCACAGGGGGGGACGTCGGAAACAATAGCAGCAGAAAGAGCAAGCGTCCAGTAGCAGCTTAAAGGCTAACAAAATTTGTACCAGGGGACGAGCTTTCGTGAGCAGTGACTCACGATAGCTCATACCCTGCCAAAAGTTTTGTCAGTCTTTAAGCTGCTACTAGACTCTTGTTCTTTTCTGCTCCAACAGGAAATAGAAGAAGAGGAAGAGGAGATTGGATTCACACCCCGCCCTTCACTCAGAGCGGCTTACAGACTCCTTTCCCTTCCCCTCCCCACCACAGACACCCTGTGAGGTCGGTGGGGCTGAGAGAGCTCTGAGAGAACTGCCCTTTCAAGGACAGCTCTTGTCAGAACTGTGACTTGCCCACGGTCATCCAGCAGCTGCAAGTGGAGGAGTGTAGGGCTTTTGCCCTGCAGGCAGTGTTCCCTCTAAGCTGAGTTGGTGTGAGCTAGCTCACACTTTTTTACCCTCCGGGTCACACATTTTTGTCTGAGCTCAGGAAGAGCAAACTAACTCCAGAGCAAACTAACTTATGCAGCAGCCAAATCGCTCGCTCAAAACTTTAATGCCAGCAGAATGTTTGCTCACAGGACTCCACAACTTAGAGGGAGCATTGCTGCAAGATTTGTTTTTAAACTCGCCTTGGCAGCGGCTGCCACCGCAGCGCGGGGGAACTTCGCTGGGTGACTGAAGGTTGGCCGGGGCAGCCATTTTGTGTGCCTGTTCCGCCTCCTGCGGCAGACATTTTAGGGCAGCCATTCTGTGGCTCTGCCCACCACGCTGTGTCAGGATTCCAAAGGTGCCTCATATGAACAAAATATATACCAGGAGATGGCAACAAATATGCACAGGCTTGTCTTTACATTTACTTGTAAATAATGTAATGGTGCTCAACAGAACTTACATTACAATCCTTGTTATTTGTATCAATACTACAAAAGGCAATATTGTCTACTTCTTACAACACCCCATTGAAGCAAACAACCGTATGTTCTGTTACATGATGCAGGGGTCTCGGTTTACTCTCCGCCTGTGTCTTTGTCTTTATCAAAGAATCCTCACACATGAATTCTACACAGACGGAAGACTTCTGAAATCACTTCTGTGGCCTATTGCTCCTAACTCAAGTCTGCCTTCTCCAATTCTACATAGACGGAAGACTTCTGAAATCACTTTCTAATTCAAGACTTGAATTAGGAGCAATAAGTTCTATCAAGCACCATTACATTATTTAAAGACGAGTCTGTGCATATTTGTTGCCATCTCATGGTATACATTTTGCTCATATTAGGTTATATGTCCATGAGCCTGCAATTTGGTGTAGAATTCCAAAGGTGCCCATAGGCTCAAAAAGGTTAAATCAAAGGTAAAGGTTTCCCTAGCTTGAAAGCCAGTCGAATCCGACTCTAGCGGGCGGTGCTCATCTCCGTTTCCAAGCCGAAGAGCCAGCGCTTTCCGAAGACATTTCCGTGGTCATGTGGCCGGCACGACTAAACGCTGAGGCGCACGGAACGCTGTTCCCTTCCCACCGAAGTGGTACCTATTTATCTACCTGCAGTTTCTGGCTTTCAAACCGCTAGCCTGGCAGGAGCTGGGGCCAGAGATGGGAGCTCACTCCGTCAGGAGGCACACTCGGGTCTCGAACCACTGAATTACAGACCTTCTGGTCTGCAGCTCAGCGTCTTTTAGACCTTCGGCTATGGCCATCTCATGCTGATGATTAGGTTCCTCACAGGGACTGCGCAGCGACAGCCGGGAGACTTACCCCAGACGAGGGAGGGCCGCTGTCCGTTTGCTTTGGTTTCTGAAGCCCGCTGATCACGGAGCCCAAGATGGAGGTGGTGAGGCCTTGTACGCCGGGAGGCGTCAGCTGAGGTGTTTGCGCTCCCATGACGGCGCTGTCCCTCTCCATTCCCAATGGTCCGAGAAAAGAAGGCATGATTGGAGACTTGACGGCCCCGGGAGCCATATCTGAAGGCAAAGAACCACATCCACATTCACATACCCAACATCTGCGCACCGTCCCCAGCAGTGTTCCCTCTAAGCTGAGTGAGTGTGAGCTGGCTCACAGTTTTTTAGCCTCCAGCTCACACATTTTTGTCTTAGCTCAGGGAGGATGGGCTCCAGAGCAAACTAATTGATGCAGCAGCCAAATCGCTTGCTCAAAACTTTAATGCCAGTAGCTCGCAAAGTAGAATTTTTGCTCACAAGACTCCGCAGCTTAGAGGGAACATTGTGAGAGCAACCTTCTAGGGAGGAGATGTTTTGAGAACCAGGTAGCAGGGATGAGAAAGTCATACTTGTTAAGAAGAACTGGTCTTTATCCCCACCCCCACCCCACTTCTCTACCCCGAGAAATCTCAGAGTGGCTGACAATCGCCTTCCCTTCCTCTCCCCACAACAGGCCCCTTGTGAGGCAGGTGGGGCTGAGAGAGCCCTGAGAGAACTGTGACTGGCCCAAGGTCACCCGGCAGGCCTCATGAGTCTCAAAGCGACTTACAATCGCCTTCCCTTCCCCTCCCCACAACAGGCACCTTGTGAGGCAGGTGGGGCTGAGAGAACTGTGACTGGCCCAAGGTCACCCAGCAGGCCTCATGTCTCTGCCTTCCCTTCCCCTCCCCACAACAGGCCCCTTGTGAGGGACATGGGGCTGAGAGAGTCCTGAGAGAACTGGGACTGGCCCAAGGTCACCCAGCAGGCCTCATGTGTCTCAAAGCGGTTTAGAATCGCCTTCCTCTCCCCACAACAGGCGCCTTGTGAGGTCGGTGGGGCTGAGAGAGTCCGGAGAGAACTGGGACTGGCCCAAGGTCACCCAGCAGGCCCCACATGTCTCAAAGCGGTTTAGTCGCCTTCCTCTCCCCACAACAGGCACTTTGTGGGGCTGAGAGAGTCCAGAGAGAACTGGGACTGGCCCAAGTTCACCCAGCAGCCCCACGTGTCTCAAAGTGGTTTACAATCGCCTTCCTCTCCCCACAACAGGCACCCTGTGAGGTCGGTGGGGCTGAGAGAGCTCTGAGAGAACTGGGACTGGCCCAAGGTCACCCAGCAGGCTTCATGGGGAGCAGTGGAAAGTCAAACCTGGCTCTCCGGATAATAGTCCCTACACCAGCCAGTTTGGCAAAGTGGTTAAGTGTGCGGACTCTAATCAGGGAGAACCGGGTCTGATTCTTCCAATCCTCCACTTGCACCTGGCTGGATGGCCTTGGGCAAGCCGTAGTTCTGATAAGAGCTGTTCTTGAAAAAGAGCCGTTTCTGTCAAGAGCTCTCTCAGACCCACCTGCCTCACAGAGCGTCTGTTGTGGGGAGGGGAAGGGAAAGGAGTTTGTGAGCCGCTCTGAGACTCCTTTGGGTAGTGAAGGGCGGGAGATAAACCCAATCTCTTCTTCTTCTTCTTTTACCTCACAGGGTGTCTGTTGTGGGGAGGGGAAGGGAAAGGAGTTTGTGAGCCGCTCTGAGACTCCTTTGGGTAGTGAAGGGCGGGAGATAAACCCAATCTCTTCTTCTTCTTCTTTTACCTCACAGGGTGTCTGTTGTGGGGAGGGGAAGGGAAAGGAGTTTGTGAGCCGCTCTGAGACTCCTTTGGGTAGTGAAGGGCGGGAGATAAACCCAATCTCTTCTTCTTCTTCTTTTACCTCACAGGGTGTCTGTTGTGGGGAGGGGAAGGGAAAGGAGTTTGTGAGCCGCTCTGAGACTCCTTTGGGTAGTGAAGGGCGGGAGATAAACCCAATCTCTTCTTCTTCTTCTTTTACCTCACAGGGTGTCTGTTGTGGGGAGGGGAAGGGAAAGGAGGTTGTAAGCCGCTCTGAGACACCTTTGGGTTGTGAAGGGCGGGGGATAAACCCAGTCTCTTCTTCTTCTTCTCTTAACCACTGCTCCACACTGTATACCCTGTCTTTCTGCTAAAACAGTATTTGCATAGACTTACAAGTCTAAAAACTGAAGACAAGAAACAGACTCCCGGATAATCGCGCCGCACAGTGCTTACCTGAGGGCATCTCCCCCAGCAGCTGGCTTCCTGCCTGAGACCCCGGCGTGTTTGGCAACCCCAGAGCGCTGTGTTGCAGGGAGCCCAGAGGTGATTCTCCCAAGATCCCGGGTTTCTGAAAACGAGCAAAGACTATCAGCAGCTGAAGCAAAAGGCAGGGATTGGTACGATCGAAGAACAGGACAAAACAGCGAGAGCGCAAGCCGACGATGAAGCGAGGCGGGGTCCCAGGGCAGGGGTCCCCAACTTTTCTGACGCTGTGGAAAACTCTGAAATATTCACACGGAGTGGCGGGTACAGCCACAAGATGGCCGCCGCACGAGACGGAGCCACACGCACAGAGGAGAAGGGGAGTGATTTATAAGATACACTGGGAAAGGGAGGGAGAGGGAATGAAACCAACACCGCGGTGGCGGCTGCCACGGAAACAATGGTATTTTACACTGCCCAATAATAATTGATTGGCACAGTAATGAGATAATATGGAGAACAAGAAAAACTGTGAGAAAGTGATGCTTAATACTGTCTTTGATAATTGTGAGACGACGTCAGCGGAGGATACGAACTACTGAGAGACAGTTTTTGTCCCACATCTTTGTTCAGAAGAAGATCTTCCTTCGAAACGGCAAGACATTCCGGAGATCACCGTCAATATATTTTCCTATGATTATGTATATTATTTTTGTTCACTTTTCTATGATTCTTTGAAGACATATATTAAGCATCACTTTATCACAGTTTTTCTTGTTTTCTGTATTTTACATGGCCCAGCCAATCGGCTCTCCGGCGGCCAATCAGAAGCTGTGCTGGGCAACCTCCTCGCCCACTTTCTAAAAACACTCGGTGGGCACCAAGGAAGGTGACATCAGGCACCAAGGGGCCCAGGGGTGCCACGTCGGGGACCCCCGTCCTAGGGCATGCAATGGAACGGACTGCTACGGAAGGCGTTCAGCGCTAAGCAGAAAGGTGACTGGACTGTAGCCAGACCACACGGGGATGTTCTAGGCAAGGGACACAGAGAACAGGTCTTTTGGGGTCCGGTATTGGCATCTAGTCATGCTGGCCACATGACCGTGGAGATGTCTTCGGACAGCGCTGGCTCTTCGGCCTGGAAACGGAGATGAGCACCGCAACTCTAGAGTCGGATTCGACTGGCTTTCGAGCCAGGGAAACCTTTAGCGTTTACCTATTTGGAAACGGAGAAGAGCACCGCCCCCTAGACTCGGATTTCACTGGCTTTCGGATTTCACTAGCTTTTACCTATGCTTTTAAATGTTTTCTTAAATTAATTTTTCGTTCTTCATGTTTCACCTATGGTGTTTTTATTGCTTTTATAGCCGTCGTAAACCGCCCAGAGAGCTTCGGCTACGGGTGGTATAGAAATGAAATTATTAATCTATATATCTAATTGTCAACAGTCCCCTATGTGCGGATACCTAAATCCGCACATAGGGGGCAGGCTTACCCCAAACAAGTTTTCCTGCTAACTTGGGTGACCCCCTAGGACTGCAGAAAAATTTGAAAACTTAAAAAAAACAAAAACACACACATTTGGGGGGGTTTAAATCCCCCCTCCCCAAAATAAAATCTGCCAGGCTCAGAGGGAGGGAAAAAGAGGGAGGGAGAAAGAAGGGGGGATTGGCTGGAGGGGGAAGAGAAAGAATGGGAGGGTTGGCTTGGGGAGAAAAAGAATGGGGAAGATGACGGGAGAGGCGAAGGAAGCAAAGGTGGGGGAATGCCCTCTCCCCGCAAGGAGTTGCGGGTCCCCACTGGTAATAAATATAGCAGCAACAACAACAACAGTGGGGCCCAGCGCTCTCAGAGGACAGGAGGCCCCTGGACAGCGAATGTCTGGTCTAATACTGCAGCACGAGCATTCCTCCTCGGATGCAGAAGGCATGAAGGTGGGCAACGCTGGGCCATTCAAGGGGCTGAGTGTGACCTTTAAAACTTTTCATGAGCCTGGGACCAATGTTCCCTCTAAGATGTGGAGTCTTGTGAGCGAAAATTCTACTTGGTGAGCTACCGGCATTAAAATTGTGAGCAGGTGTTTCGTGCTGCTGCATAAATTAGTTTGCTCTGGAGCCCTCCTTCCTGAGCCAAGACAAAAGTGTGTGAGCTAGAGGCTATAAAACTGTGAGCTAGCTCACGCTAACTCAGCTTAGAGGGAACAATGTCTGGAGACCCGTCTCCTTCCGTATGTCCCTGTGCACCAACTGTGGTGGCTGGGTAGCCCATCTGGTTCAGTCCCCGGCATCTCCAGTTAAAAGGACCAGGCAGGAGGGGATGGGAAAGACCTTGACCTGAGACCCTGGCTCAGGGGCAGAGCCTCTGCTTGGCATGCAGGAAGTCCCAGGTTCAGTCCCCAGCATCTCCAGATGAAAGGACCAGGCAGGAGGGGATGGGAAAGACCTTGACCTGAGACCCTGGCTCAGGGGCAGAGCCTCTGCTTGGCATGCAGGAAGTCCCAGGTTCAGTCCCCAGCATCTCCAGATGAAAGGACCAGGCAGGCGGGGATGAGAAAGACCTTGACATGAGACCCTGGCTCAGGGGCAGGGCCTCTTCTCGGCATGCAGAAGGTCCCAGGTTCAATCCCCAGAGGCATCTCCAGTTAAAAGGACCAGACAGCAGGTGATATGAAGGACCTCTCTCTGCCTGAGACCCTGGAGAGCCGCTGCCAGCTTGAGCAGGCGATACTGACTCAGTATAAAGCAGCTCACGTGCTACCAAACGCGGCAGTTGCCTCAGTGTTCCATCCAGAGCACAACACAAGCAGGATCACACCACACACACACACACACACGTGCTCTCTTAAGCACCAGCACAAGCAATCCCAGCTGCCCTCCTGTTCCTCCGACTGGGAGGAGGGGCGGTCCCTCTGCAGAGCAGCATCTGCATTTCAAAGCGAGCTCTAGAAGCAGCCGGAGCGACTCAAGGGAGTCCCGGTGGCCCCACCCAGTTGCAGTTGGGCTCCGGATTACTCTTAGAGTGTCCAAAG